CCCCAAAACCCCAAAACCCCAAAACCCCAGACAGGTGACCTTCTGTTGAGAGCTAGTGTTGGATTAGATTTAGCACTTCTGTAGCGGACCTGTTGGGTGTGAGGCGGGATAGAGGAAGGCTACGGTCGAAGGGGTCCCGCTTTCTTTCATGTATTAGTCTTTCAATTACTGAAGTGTCTACAAGGTTTCCTGATGGAGTTATGGCAGGCTTCTTTACTAGCTCGAAACTGATTGGGCAAATTAATAATTCTTCAAGTTTATCGAGTAAACCGTAATATTGATTAAAGCATTTAGTTGCAAAGCCTAAGTTCATATAATTACAAACTTACACTTCTTGTTTTGTTCAATTCAGAGATGGCTTCAGTGATTTCCATCATGAATGCTCATATTTTTATCATAGTCAAAGTCATCTTTAGAATTTATGGAAACTTCTTTCTCCAACTTATCTACAATATGAAATCTGAAAATTTACTGAGAAGCTCAGTGGCAAATCCTTTCTTTTCTTCTGAAACTTCGGGCGACTCTTGAACCTCTCTAGAATACAATTTACCATTGAATAAAGCGATTTATTTTAAAGTCTCCCTGATGGAAATATATTAGGCTTACTTTCTTTGGTTCCCATGAACTTTTAACAGATGAGTTCATAGAAAACTAAGCATTCTAGAAGGCAATATTTTGCCCTTAAAATACTAAGAATGAGACTTACAGCATATAACTTCGACACAGGTCAACCTTGCTTTGCTTAAGCTTGAGCTTGTGTTGCATAACTTCAACCTGATCGAGTAAATTATCAATGTTATTATCTCTAAAGATAAAACAGTTGGGCTACTTCTCAAAAATTTCTTTTCTTAAGCTTTCTAACAAGCCCCTATATACAAATCTCATCAAGTAATCTTTAATGGAGCAGATTAAGCATCTTAAAAATTCAGGCTGAATAGCTAATTGAGGAAGACCTTATTCCAAGTAATTATATTAACTCACCGATTCTCACTTCTCTCCTTTCTTATTTTTGCTTCAGATCTTTCATAGCGCTGAAAGGCATGTTGGATGCTTTCATGGTGGTTCTGAGCTATACTCAGTCTTCTCTCCAACTAAATCAGTGTCACGGTTTATCAAAGAAATGAGCTCTAGAGATAAGAATTCTTTAGATTTTTATGCTCTGAAAGATACATTTTGCCTATTTCTGGAGGTGATAACCACTTTTTAAGTTAAATTACTCATCAGAAATGCTTTAGTATTATACCAAAGTCTTATCTCAAGATATGAGAACTTAATGTGTCAAACTATGACTGCTCTTCAAGTAATATTTGGGCTTGCCATTCTGTATTGGCATTCAAGTGTAACACAAGTTCAGATTTTCATAACTATTGTCAGGGCTATTTGTTCTACCTTGACTAATCCCTTTGTCAAAAATTTATGAAGAACTTTGGAATGAACCCTCCAAGGAATGTTAGTGTCCCAGGTACGAAATGTTGCTTACAGCTGAGATGGTCAGGTCTCAGACTGAACTCGCATTCTCTGGCTTAATCTCATCGAGAAGGTCATCCGGATACTCTCATAAGGTATTAATCTTGGATCTGTAAGAGTCAATGAAGTTATTTTCTGCTTCAAGAGCCAGGGTGGAGATCAGCTTCGGTCTGGAGAAGAGCCAGCATTCTATATACAGAGTTGTCCACGTAATTTAGAGGTGCTGGCCAGTATCTTCTGACCATGAAAGATAGGTTGTTTCTCATTTCAGCACATTTAAAGTCCTGGTTATTAGATGTTTCCTTCTACGAATTGATCGAACAAATAGGGGTTTAAGAATATTCGAGAAGGGTTACTTTGAACAAATTTTGAAGAATTTTCCAGACAAAATAGTGAATGTGTAAACCATAAAATAAGAGACTAAGGACTCTGAACTGTGATTTACTTACTCTAGAAAAATCTTAGCGATGCTCTTATAATCTTCAAGCAGGTATTTGCGGAATTTCTTCTTGACTCTGTTGTTTATCTGACGAGAATTTTGCCCAAGCCTTCTATTCAAGAGTAACAAATGTAGGTTTACATTGGACTGAGACTTTTGACTTGGGCTCTTGTGCTGCCAACAGGAATCCTAGAGAATGAGTAAGATACGTAATATTTTGAGATCAATTAAATAATCAAATATTTTCACTCTTAAGCTCAGTAAGTCTTATTTTAATTGCCAAAAGAGATCCATGAGGATGTCGAAAATCAATGATTTGTAGATAGCATAACTGATATTAGAATGAAAGACTTACTCCATTAAGCCTTGAGGATTCTTCCCTCTAGGTGAAAAATTTCTGGTTCTTTTATTCCTGATATTAATAGATTTCTGATGAATTCTGAAATCTTCTAACTTTGCTTCTAAACTAGATACTACAAGTTATTACTCTTAACAAGGCACAAAAGCTTCATCAATCATAGCATTTTTAAGTTTATTATAAGGACTAAGCAATTCTGAGGAGATAAAGGTAACCTGAATGTTACTTAATTCTGTCAAAGATCACAATAAAGGTTTTATGACTATTAGGCACACATTTTCACCATTAAAATCTGAACCTTGAAGAATCAGCAACCTCCACTAATACTGCCTTTACCTAAAAGTTCAGCCCTGAGTGAGATCTGGCCTGCGAGCGTTCAGTCTTTAGTCGCCCTCTGCCCTTTAGAGAAGGGCTTAAGGTTCTTCCTGTAGACCTTTTGTAAGATACTTAAGTTAGTGCTGTTGAGAGTTTTAGGGATTTTTGGAAATTTTGACATTTTAGGCATTTTAGAGGTCCTGGGGTTAATTTTATTGTGAATAAGGGTTCAATGGGGGTTTATGAAGAGGGGTTTTGGGGTTTTGGGGTTTTGGGG